GCGAAGGCTATTTATTATCTTGATATTCTTACGGTGGTTTTATATAAATGTTTACTTTTTTCCTAAATTTATCCTATTCAATCCAAAATATTTAAATAAAATTTTACTTGATACAGGTTAGTCACCATCCAACACTCATTGCCTGCCATTGTGAAGGTAGAGGGTGGAAGTTCTGGGCTGACAGCAATATCCGCACAAAATTTTGGGGGCGATCAATTCAGCTTGACCCTGTTGGAGTTCTGAGCTTGCAGTTTGACGATGGTGAAATTTTCCAGTGGAGCAAGGTGTGCATTACCATATTGTGTTTTTGCTCTAAATTGACAGATCGTTAGAATCATTTTCTTGGGTAATATAACCACCAAGGTGTGCATTTCTATGTTACGTTTTTTTATGTATGCCACAAGTGCTTAAATATCTTTACGTTGTCTAATAGGTCACAACAAGCATATATAATCTAATTCTTGGTAAAGTGTATTGTGATCACCATGGTACAATGCATATACGTGGTAATCGTCAGCATTCATGCAAACTGAAGTTCAAAGAGCAATCGATTCTTGACCGAAATCCTCACCAGGTTAGTGGCGTATTTCTTTTTCTGTCCAGTACGATGGTTCTATGTTGTTGTAGAGAATGTTGAATCATTATCATTGCTGTTTGCTGGCCTGACATTGTGCTGCTGGATTAATTGCAACTGTACACTCTACATCCACATAGGTCCATGGATTTGTGGAAGATGTCATGGGGAAAAAGGTTGCTACGTTATTTGGGAAGTGGGATGAAAGCATGCATTATGTTAATGGTGATGGGAGTGGCAAGTTAAATCCTTCAGATGCTTCGTTGTTGTGGAAAAGTAGTAAACCTCCTAATGTCACACGATACAACTTAACGTCATTCGCAATGACACTGAATGAGCTAACACCTGGACTGCAGGTAGACATGATGTAATACATCAAATGTTTCATATGCGTTCTTATTTTTCCCTTATGCATCTCTCATTGGTTCTTATAGCTTTGTCTGATCCTGGGTATTTGATCACGAATTAAGGAGAAGCTCCCACCCACCGATTCCAGGCTCAGGCCCGACCAACGGCATCTGGAGAATGGTGAGTACGAAAAGGCAAATGCAGAGAAACAGCGGCTGGAAAAAAGGCAAAGAATGGTAATATTGGCTTCTTTCTGTATCTTTTGGTCACACGCGCACGCACATAGACATCCATTCCAGCCTCATCAGCTGATTTTCTTTTCACCGATTCTAGGTTTTACGTGTAGAAGGTAATCCGAGATTCATATTGTTTTCCTTGGTCATGGATTATGGTTTTCTATGATCTTCCCAATCAGAATATTTATTAGGCCTATACTTCATGCGATCAAAGTTAAAATTCATACTATGATCATACCAAATGATGAATAATCCATACTAGAGACCAAGTCACTTGCCAAATTAGAGTCAACTGTGTCAATGAAATGACTTTTATGTTGGACGGTTGGAAAAATTATATTGCTGATATATAAGAAGTTACGACTCTTTGGTCAGTTTTGGAATTGGTTGCATTGCAAGCGACTTCAGCAACTTCACCCAGTTCCAACATGAGAAAAAATGCATTTCTTTACTCTTGCCCCGTTTACTCCTCTTACGCTTTCACAATATATTATTGAGTTCCTTACAGATTTGAAGAGCAAATACAGAAAATTATTTGATGCATTCAAACATACAGATCTTTAGGAATACTTCCAGTGTATTATAGCTTCCAATAAATATGTTTACAAGCAGATGGCATATGATTTAACTGAAGTATTTCTTTATTACTATTAATGCTAGTGATAATCCTTGAAACTCTCAATGCACAGTCGAGGAAACTACAAGAAAACGGGTGGAAACCCAGGTGGTTCGAGAGAGAAGGTGAAGATGAACCTTTCCGCTATGTTGGTGGCTATTGGGAAACACGGAAGCAGGGAAAATGGGATGAATGCCCAGACATTTTTGGTGAATTTAACGAAGGCCTTGATGAGCAAACAGAAGGGTCCTGATTAAAATTCAGCTAGGTGCTTACTGTCTACAAAACCATGTTTGATACATTCTTAAAACTGCAATATCCACAAACGTCTCCATATCCGTAGATATATGATTTAACTCTACTAAACTCGTTCACTAGAAACGTTGAGACTTTTTTACGTGTAAATTTTCTTATAATGCAGGAAACATAAATTGCCTTGAGATGGTCACAGTCGAAACTGCGAGCGTTATAGCTTTGGCATTTCCTGATTCGGTGTATTTGTTCAAGTGCGGTCAGGAGATTGATAGCATTCGGGCATTTAAGCGAAGAATTCCCTTTCATTCGGCTGTATGTTGATGGTTAGATTGTAGTCTTATATGTATATCCTTGTAATGTCATCATTCAGTGTCATGGGATATTAGCTTACTTGTCTAATCCCTCTCCCTCCCTCTTCTCATCTGTCACATGTTGTAGTTTTTGTTTTCTTTGTATTGGTGCCAACCATCGGTTGAGCATTTTCATATTTAATTGTATTTTCTTGGAAATAAAAAGAAAAATGTAATTCTATCACCATTCCGTAATGTAATAGCTTTGGGCTGCCCATTATTATACAAGTAGTGCTCTTGCTAGGACCATCTTCGCGTTGAACTCGATTCCGAATAAACTCAATCCTAGTCTCATATATCTGAGAATATTGTAGTAATTGTCCTCTAACTTTAACCTGGTTGGAGTAATAGTTCATCAACTCATTAAAACATTCAGCTATGGTCCTTTTCGTTAATTCTGTCAAAATGAGTTATGTTGGAAAATCATTACTATAATTAGATTAAAGTTGAGGGATCATTATTCTAATTGGGTTAAAGTTAGGGGTTTATTTTTCCAATTGGGTTAAAATTGAGGGACTATTGCTATAATTTTTATCATTTATTTTTCCATATTTGCTCATTGATTCAGCCTCATGTTCGTGACATGTGACTCATTTTGATGGAAGTTTTTACGTAGTTCACAAAAAGAACCATAGCTGCACATTTGGATTAGTTAAGGGATCAATGATCATGAATTTTTAATTGAGAGACTATTACATCAATTGAATTAAAGATGGACTATGGCTACAAATTCTTCTAATATACGGACGCATCAACTTGTATATGAGAGATTTTTATTTTTTGAGTTTGAGTTATATGATAAAACAGTTGAAATTATTATTTCCATTTTAAAGTTAATCTACAGACGCACCAACTTGTTTTTCAGCCCTCCTTTTTGTTTTTCAACATGATTTAGACTTGGAATCTAATATTAGTTTTTCATAATAACTAAATGCCACTCGAGTTGGAACAATGGAGTAGTTGAATTATTGTGAGACTGATCCGGGCTTTCGGATAAAAGATTAAATTTAGAGGTTCAAATTCTCTAAATTCCAATGGACAAGATTCATCCCATGCTTGAGACTGAAATCTAGCCACTTGTTTTTGCATAATGTGGTCCAAATCTAATTATGGAGGCCAAGTGAATGCTCTATAACTAAAGTAATCAGCTCCATTTTCCCACTTTCTAATTCGACCACAGGTTGGAAGTCTGCCATTTAAATCATATAGGGTTTATACCACAAATTGTCTCATAAATTGAATCACACCATCAAGATGGATTCCGTAAATTGAAAATTGCTGAATGTAGTCCCTGAAATAGATGTCACAAATCAATATGATTCTAATTATGTCAAAAATTCTATTACGTGCTGATGTGGCACATAAATGAGGCCTACAAGATGTACGATTTTTTTTCCACAAATGATCTTTGAAATTAATCCATGCGATCAAGACAGTCCCTGAAATATGGGTCACAAATTAATATGGTCATTCCATTTAAATGACATTAGGACTATGTTGATCAATTTTCAATTTCAATGACCATTTGTGATTAAAAACTATGATTTGTGGAACCCATTTATGTGCCATATCAGTACATAACAGAATTTTTGACAGAATTGTGACTGAAGGACTACACTGATTTGCGATGCCTATTTTTAAGGACTACATTGATTGATTGTCAATTTTAGGGACCATTTTGATGGTATGCGTCAATTTTAGAGACCATTTGTAATATAAACCCAATCATATTTTACTCACATCACTGACTACCTTTTTAAAAGCGTCTCCAATGGCGAGCTGCAAATTTAAAATGTAAAATTTTATCTCATTTATATTTTAGGAAGATTTAGTCATGTAAATGTGGTTTTTACTCCAATTAGGAGATGTAAATTTGAATTTGGACACCTCTTCTTGAACTCATAGAGCTATTATTGTTTTTTCACCTCTCCTGGAGATGTGATAAAAGATGTAAATTTATATAAATATTTACATTTACATTTTCATGTTAAGATGGATATTTTATATCCCTTTAAAATTTCCTATTAAAAAACTTTCCTGCGAACAAGTGATGTATATGTGTTATACATCATAGCTGTCTTTGAGAATTTGAAAGCTCTGTATGAAAATTTTAAATACGATTCTTATCAACATGATGTTTTAAGGAGCTAATATTTTTCGAAGAGCCAATTCAATAAAAAATCGTATTATAATATACTTAAATGTTATATGAATTTAATTGTTAACGCTTCAATTCAAGTAATTGAATGATCTCATTTATTTGGGGACCAGTATTATGAGCTATGGACTTATGAGAGAGAAACAATCCAATATTCTTTTTCTTACCATACTATCTTCTAATTGTTTGTTGTTGAACAAATTATATATTATATAATATATCTGGGTGCGAAAATCTCGGGGGACCTATGCAATGCTCCTACTGCTCTCCCTCAAAGCCGGCATTGGTATACATCTCCATATACACCTCCGATTGAAGATGCTCCAACAGAGATCAATCTCATATACATGCGGATTGGAGCAGCAACTATTAGACAGATGGTCAATAAATTATTTAAGTACACGCATTATTACATTCTAAAACATAACCAAAGTAAAATTATAAAAACGTGTGGATCCGGTGATGATTAACGAGCTTTAATGATTCTTCATTTCTTTATCTTTTATGCATACAAGATTAGTTACAAGCTTATGTAACAAAACAAAGAACACAAGATAGGGAAGTAAATTGAAAAATATACCATATTAATGGACACAAATCTCTACTTCCTCCAATTCTATGCCCTCCTCAGCAAGTCTTTTGTCCTTGTAGACATACCAATTGGCACAAAACAAATAGACAACCAAATTCAAAGCACTCAGAAGTGCCAATAGCCAATAGAAATCATAAAGCTTTCCTTGGTTGAGATTGTCTGCCAGCCATGGGTTCGTGTCCCCTGTCACATTGTGCACTATACTCACCAACAGTGAGCTCACGAAAAACCCTAACGAGAGGGTGCTCAGAAACAGCCCTGTGCTCATTGTTTTCATTCCTTTCGGGCACTCCCTAAGGAAGAAGTCCAGCTGCCCAATGTACGTGAAGGCTTCTCCTGCCCCCACAAAGAAGAACTGTGGGACGAGCCAGAAAACACTCAGTGGGATCTCAGCCGTTGGATTGCCTGTCAACCCATGTGATCTTGCGGCGTTCAGACGCTTCACTTCTGTGAGTGCTGCTGCTACCATGGCAAATGTTGAGAAGACCAAACCAACCCCTATGCGTTGCAATGGGGTTAGTCCTTGAGGGTTGTTTAGTACTTTTCTTGCAACTGGGACTATAATCCGGTCGTAAACTGGGACAGTTAATAAAATGCTGCCTACAAAGAAAGCAGTGAGGGATGCCGGCGGGATTTGGGACGATTTTCCGATGTGGCGGTCCATGGAGGTTGCTTGGGACACTGAGAATGTGGTCATTTGGGCATAAACTGTCCAAAAAATTATGTTAGTGGCCCAGATTGGTAACATTCTGATGACCAATTTTACTTCTTCAACATCGGTTAGGGTTGATAAACTCCATTTGTTTCCGATCGTGGTTTTACCACCTTCTATGTTTGGTTCCTTGATTGCTGCCTTATCCAAGAAACTGCACTAGAAGAAACCAATTAATTCAAATTGTTGACAAACCCTAAACCCGAATACATGTTCTTATCAGCCAAATGTACAACTTCATGGTAGCATCGTTTGTATGCATGTAATAAATAGTTCCCATCAGTGGTGTAGTGAACGATATTTTATTTAAACATATATAGATCTTCATTAGTTTAAGAAAAATATTCATGGAAAATTTCTTGTTAAATGAAAGGTTTCTTGTTACATGAAAGGTTGAGTTATAAATTAATCGAGTCTCATTAAAACGTGACATGTATTATAAGTTTTTTTTTTTTCTTCATATTATTAGATTTGTCACGTGACAGGAACGTTCTATTTAACTTTTTCTTAATTAGTTTACCTATTTCCATTTTATGTAGTTTTACGTTGCACATGTGTGATCAAGTTAAGGTTGAACATCTTTCTAGGTGCAGTATGGGCCAAAAAAAGAAATTTGTTCCAAATAATAACACAAATATAAGAACATAGTCATGTGAACAAGCACAAGGGAAGTTTTGTGAGTCACATCATCATCACTTTTATTTTATTTTATTTTTGTAGTTTTGGGAGTTGTTCTCTTGTGCCAAGAAAAGATTTTTCAAATGATAATAGTGTGTGATGGAGTGCAAAGGGAACAACGCAAATCAGGGACAGAAGGAGGTAGTGGAATATATAAGCAAAGGAAATATGTCCGTGACCGATGGAGCTGGGGAACATGATGACTTTTGGTTTTGGATTACTGGGGGAGGCGATAACTAGAACCGAACTCCAAAAGACAAATAGCGTGAGGATTGATTGAATTTCATGCAGGACAGACTGGCCCCGTCCCTCGTGATATGCTTTTGATTGAGTACAGATCCACTCCAGATCTAAAAAAAGGGAACCTAAGAATTAAATGATTCGGACTGTTGAAATTTGATCTAACGGTTACAATTATTATAATTTTTAAAGGGACTCCTTATTTGTAGCGTTGGATCAAATCTCAACGGTCCAGATTATTTGATCCTTAGGCTCCGTTTTTTTTAGATCTGAAAAGGATTTGTACTCCTTTTCAAATGAGGAAGACTTAATTCATCTCCCGATAATTGCATGAATGGACAAATTGTTACATAGGAATAATAGCAAAGATAAGTTTGGTCAAATGGGTATATACATCTAGTGATACATATATAATTAGTTGATAGGTATTCCATAAATTTGCATGAGTTCTCAAACAAAAGTCAGTTAGCTGTCTATTTCATGGCCAGGTTCTCTCGCTGCAGGCCGATAACCAAGAATCTTATATCAAATGGGTTAGGATATCAGACACTCATTTTTAGATTTGACACTCATTTTGTAAGATTCATTATGTAATTTTTTAGGGGTCCGAACCGTCTATATTTTTTTTATCATTTCGTCCTTTCAAAAACTAGGTCTCCTCGTATCCTAATCTATTTCAAATATGTATTCACTGATTGGATAATTGATGTTGCGTATTGGTTGGTGCATGTAATTATCCAAAAAGAAAAGAGAGGATAAGCCCCTTCGCAATTGTCAGATCTCCTAAATAGTGTAGGGACAAAGTACACGAACACCACTCTTTGTAGTATTTTAGGTTGAAATAATTTTAAATCTTTTCTTCAATAACTATTTCAAGTCTTTAGTATTGGCAGCTAAGAGCTAACCTAAATAATTGACTCGTCAATAATGCTTGATGCGCAAATAAGTTTAATTTCACATTTGGATAATCGATAAACACCACAGACTTCATGTAAATTCCATTCTGGAATAATTTTATATGTAATATTGTTAAACTTTTCAATGCATTATATGGTTAGACAGATTGTTAATTCGACTTTCTAATGTGTTATGTGGTTAGATATGTTGTTAATTAATTCAAAGCTTGTAAGACGCAAAAAGAAATTATGAAATTTTATTCATCAAATAAATTAACAATGTTAGATAATTTAAATTTGAGTTCACTTTAAATCGTATTTTCTTTTGAGAAGTCATATAAACACATTATTTTGTAAACAAAGGATGTGATGAATTAGTTAAAAAACAGTTGATGCAATTAAAGTAGTTAACTGAGATAGATACATAAGATTTAGGGTTGATAACACTAACCGGAACTGCTTGCTATGAGGCAACATTTGCTTCTTCTTCTCCGTTAGTCCATCATCTATGTCACCAACGTTGTACAACAAAGTCAAGTCCAACGGCAGTTCCAAATTCCTCTTCTTCCACGCGTTCACAAACACTACTGCAATTTGCGTCAGAGGGCTGCCCACAAGTTTCTTGAAACGGTACCGTCGTGTGCCTGACAAGAACACAATGAGGCCGAGCACAATTGCACAGACACAGATTCCATATCCCCATTGCCTCCCCAAGTTGTCTTGGATGTAAACAAGAACTGTAACTGCAGCGAGTGAGCCTATGCTTATGAAGAAGAAGAACCAGTTAAAAAAGTTCGTCATTTGTTTTCTTTCTTGTTTGTCCGATTCGTCGAACTGGTCAGAGCCGAACCCTGAAACGCTCGATTTTAGGCCTCCGGTGCCGAGGGCGGTGAGGTAGAGGGCTGTGTAGAGGACCGTCAGCTGCTTTCCACTGGCCGGGAGGCACTGCGAGCCGGTTCCAGCGGTGCATTTGGGGGGTTGGAGGCTGGGGACTGTGGTTGAGATGGTCAATATTGTCACACCCTATTAACCAGAACAAGAAATTAAAGAAAGAAAAAAGAAAAAACAACACGAAAACAAGTAGGGTGGAATAATGTGTGTGCTTATACAAAAGAGCAATTAATGGACTTCATCAATGGTATAAGATACGTAATTAGAAATACACCTAGAAATGAATTGATTATGTATTTATTTTGGGTGAGAGTCACTTCTCAATGCCAATGGTGAATTAGAAGCCTTACCATTGCTTGGATGGTGGCAAATATTGCTATTGTCAGGTACCTGCCGAGATTTGAAAAGTAATGTAAGAGAAGTTTTTCAAATTATATTATAATTAATTAACATCTAAATCTAATATAAATGAGATCCTTTAGTATTACAATTTTCTCAATGAGAAGATAAATCATGAATGATTTTTTGTTAGTAAATTCAAAGCGCACATACACCAAGAATGAGCGGACATTGGTTATGGTATTGGCAAATCCAAATTCAAAATGGGAAGCCAATTGAAAACTAATTACCTGCCAAGAAAGGTGTCTGCCACAAAACCGCCGAGCAAGCAGAGCATAAAGGAAGTTCCAAGAAAGTTGGTGACGGTATTGGCCGAGGTAGCACTGCCCAAGTGCATGGTGCCCGTCAAATAAGTCACCAAGTTCACAGCAATTCCTAGCGTTGTTAGCCTCTCACATGCCTCTCCACCTGAGAATTTTTATAAATAAATATCAAAACCAGCACTGTGTATGCAAGAAGCAATTGAGTGAAGGGAGCACATAAACATAGGCAGGGTGGGTAGCTAGTTATACCTAGAATCATGGTGGCCGCCGTCCAGCCGCCAGTTTTTGACCGCTCGGCTGGGCGGCCTTTGTAGTCCCATGCATCTGGGAGGGTGATTTTTCCTTGTGTATCTGGGAGGGTAGTACTATCCCTCATTGTACTAGTTAACGACACTAATTTTCTTGTTCTGGTTCAGGCCAAAAATGTTTGTCAACTATATATGTAAAGAGGGCGAGAGTGTGGCACAATGGATGCAAAGGCTTGTGGCCTTTTTATGGTGGGAGATTATTGCAAAGAGGTTGCATAGATAGAAGATGACAGTGGCAGCATATTAAATTGTGCATTATATAAGAAAAAAAATATATTTTTCTCTATAATCGATATGGATCATTGATTAAACAGATCTCCTCTTTTTTTTTTTTTTTTGTTTTTTAAATGACACCTGTAGCCTAGCTAGCTTGATTTTGTCACACATTCTAAGACCAAATAATCATTCTATAAATTGAATATTATTAATCCCATGCGTTATTGAAGGGATCAAGGTTTACACAAAATGGAAATGTATGGATGTTTGAGCATATGCTTGTATAAACAACAAAAACAACAAAAATAGTCGTTATGCTACATTTCCAAAGGTTTTCACAAAAGTTTACACGAAGGGATCAAGGTTTACACAAAGTGGAAATGGGCGGACAGATTTAAGTTACCACCGCAGAACATTTGTCATTATGGTACATTCCCAAAACAACAAAAATAGTCAAGATAATGACTCAAAGATTAGAACATGAGTGTAATGTATCTTTGTGCTGCAATATATGTTCGGTTGCTAAGTTATGAATTTTGTATGGAAAATTATGTTACGTTCGTAACTATAAAACAATGGAAAACGACTTCATTCCCATGCCTTAGATTGCAATAGAGCTAGTGTAATCTCCAATATAAGAATGCCAAATAGATTAGAGAGAAAAAAGAGTAGATGAGTTATTTTCAATTGTGTATATTTCTCAGCCTTGAAGTTCATTGTAATCGTTGTTCAAGTGTCGTAGGTCTTGTTTGGCGTTTATGATTGACTTGAATTGGATAACTCTTTATATTCATAATACCTTAAATGAAAAATGGATGCAATTTTCAAATCCTGTACAAGTTGAAGGTAAAAGATGTATTAGACATGAAAAAAGTGTCTCTTCTAATCTCACTATACATCAAACAAAGCCTAATTAAGGTTTTTGTTAGTGCAAATGGGGGATTATTTTGGTTGATTAAGTTTTCAGTTTCATCCCGCTTCATCCCTAGTTTAAACTCTTTCCTTTTTCTTAGCCTAGTCTGGAGTATTAAAAAAAAAGAAGAAAAAAGGGAAGTTTTTCCATTAGAATAAAGAAACTCTCTCTTTCTCTTGTTGACTTGTATTCATTCCCAGATGGGACATATATCTACACCCGGCTATTATTTCTTTCTTAAAAACTCTTTCTGTTAAGAAATATTGGATGAGGGACGAATCAAACTTGAAACCTCAGGTGCAAGAGTGGTTATTCTTAACCAACTAAATTACAAGTTCTTTATATATTACAAAGGACGTGTAGCTAAAATAGTTAGAGGTGATATCCAGCTAATTAGATGGAATAGTAATGTAGATGACGCTTGACTGCAATGACAGAAATAATAATGCTTATGCATTATGATATGGTTTCGATCCTACAAATTCCCCTTCCACGTACAAATGCTATCATTTGTTAAAGAATAGAATATTAATGGAGGATTTGTTTAATAGGCCTCTTAATAGGCCAACCATAATCAAGTGTCTAACTTGTCATTTATGATAGTTAAATTTAAAATCTCTGCCTTGCAATTTAGGATGAATGCATAGCATTGTCAGCACATAAACTGGAGACTTTAATAATATTAGATTTTAAATCTTGGTTATTATTTTTCCTTTTCAAATCTGTCTTTGCAAATACCCTTGTCTTGAAATTATTTTTTCACATATATAAATCTCGTCTATTCCCGTTCCCTGAATGAAATATGATGTTCCCTTTAAGTTATCTTGCTTCTTTTTCCTTAGTTCGTTTATAACCGTAGATTCTTCCACCCGCATGCCATTACTTCGACATTATAACTTTCACGGCGTATATAAAGAAAAAGAAAGTGCAATTGAATTATAGTACTGTAATGTTTTCCCTAGGTATACGCACAAATAGTTGTTTTTAGTTGCTTGGGAGCCTCATATTTTGTCACACCCACTTTCTAATAGTCATGGAACTTCTGAACATATATGGTTGTGATTAGTTGGACATAAATCATATGGTTGTCTTTGGTATTTTGGTTTGTGGCTTGGCTTTTGGTTTTTCTAGTTTAGCTTAGTTGTATCCTCTAATTGTTGTGTCAACGTTGTGGTGTTTTCTTTTATATTTTCAGGTAAGAGTGCTTACTATTTCTTTCATTTCTCTATGTGCGTGCTCCGGGGTTTTTGGGAGACAGCTCTTGGTAGAAACAGAGTGTAGACAATAATTAAGATTGAGCACAAAATAGGTCAACATATACTTCATAATTTCAAAAGCATTAGTGTTAATATTTATAGGTGACATGTTAATATTTTATCTTCTTAATACAAATGATATTTTAATTTAAAGTATAAAAAAAGAGAATTTTAACTCGAGTGATCGTGTAAAATCCACTCTAACCAATACAATGACTACATTCACGTCACGCCTGCTTTAATTTTAAGTGTTAAAATAAATAAATAAAATTTAGGTCAATATGTGAGCAAATAAAACACTACCACATTATTCTTGATTTAATACTTTGATATGCAGAACTATCTGTCATGAGTTAGAAGTTTACCATTGTATGATTTTGGATCCAATTGATTAAGTATGAAATTGAAATTTGAAACTTGGAAATGACAAATGCACGACCAAGTTAGGGCAATGAAAATGAGACTCATTTCTTATAAATATATTCCTTGTAAGTAAATATGTCATTACTTCTTTACAAAAGTGTTTTGTTTCTTACTTAATAGTGGTTTAAAACAAATTGTGTAGAGCAATGGTGTTAATGGATTAAGTTTTATCTGTAAACAAACTACTAAATGTTAATATAATTGGAATTTGGAGCCCCACATACATGGTAGGGTCTATTCTATTAGATAGTGTGTTAGTGGAGAATGCCTCATATGACATGGGTACGTTGTCATCGGGACGTTCCATGTCATTGATATAATGCTATGTATAAGGTTCTCTCCATATCGCATTCTATAATTGATACCAAATGTTATGATGTTGGTATATCCATACCATATAAGTTGTTATCCAACAGTTATCAATTTTATCTCTAAATATCATCATCCATCATTATAATACTCGAGGGATATTTTAATCCGTTCTTTGTTCTTAAGCTAACTAGTACTAATTAAAATACAAAGTTCAAACGCTGATCAAGTTATCGAGTTAAATTTATGTTGAAACTTCAATTTGTTTTGTTTATATGAACGAGTCACTTATAAATTAATAAGTTATTATATTATTAATTAATAAGTTATTTAATAAATTCAAAATTTTAGTTTTAAAATTAAAAAAAAATGTAATTCTTTTATAATAAATTTTTTTGAATTCCATTAAATTTTAATATAAACTATAATATTCAAGTGATATTATACTATAATATCAAGTCAAGTTATGATATAAATTATATTATAAAGATTATATAATATTTATAGTCTGCTTAGAATTAGTATAATAAATTGAAGGTAAGATGATACAAGAACATACTATTTTGTTCACCTTTAAAGGTCTAATAATGAATACAAGAACATACTATTTTGTTCACCTTTAAAGGTCTAATAATGAAGTAGGATGGTCAACATATATGGTATCAGACAGGATAACAAAATTTGATGTGTGCTTTCATGCACTGCAATAGCAAATGAACCAGCTGACAGCATGTGAATAGGGGATGAACATATATGGTATCAGACAGGATATCAAAATTTGATGTGTTCTTTCATGCACTCCAAGGGCAAATGAACCAGCTGACAGCATGTGAAAAGGGAATGAAATATAACTTCTTCTTTTATGTTCGATTAACATTTGATTGTATTAATTATACATTGGCTGGCTGCTTCGTCTGCTCGCTGGATGATTATACAGAGGAGAATTCTCTCATCTTCTAATTTTTTTTTTCTTTTTTTTTCTTCTTCTATTTGAACGATTACTGTTTAACCATGTCATCATCTTATATTGATTTTTTTATAGAAATAATAAAACAAAAAATAATATATAAGAGAAAGGGGAAAAAAATAGAAATAGGAGAGGAGAGAATCCTCTTTTTTATTATACAATTTCTATCTTGCATAATAGAAGAGAGAGGGATGGACAACAAACGTGTCAGAAAAAATGAAGAGACAGGGATGGACAACCACGTGTCAGATAACTGTGGTTGTATTAATAATATTTACGGGAAGAAAAAAACAAGGCCGTCCTATGTTCATTGCGTAATGGATGGATAATGCATGGTTTTAAATGATGACTTATGTATTAATTATCTTATGTTTAAGAAGTTAGCCGCCACATAGCATCACAATTTATTTTATTGTTTTTGGTAGTGAACTTTTTTTATAAACAAACGATATTATCTACATTAAAAATAAGAGGAAAGATTTAGCCTCATAATACGCTAGCAATAATTTTTGACTTAAAATATTGAGTTTTGAAAATTAATTATAACTGTTTAGTTAATCCTTTATGTTTACATTCTTGTATATATAAAATAATTTTTTTTACTGTATCGAGCTGGTTCATCACTTAATACTCATAACAGTTCATCATAGAATGAATGAAGAATGAAGCTGTAGAAGAAGAGAGAAGTGAGCTAACTATATATCGCACATTTAGCTCAATGAATAAGCAACCTTTCTAACTACCAAACAATTTAAGTTTACAAGATCATGCCACATGTTCACCCCCCTTCAATCTGAACGGGAAATCCCATTTTGAGATTGGAACAATGTTGGAAAAATGCAGGACAATGAAGGCCCTTTGTAAGAATATCTACTATTTCACCAGTCGAAATATATTGCTTGGAAGTCCCCTTTATGTACCCCTTCTCTCACAAAATGGAGATTTGTTTCCAATTGTTTAATCATTGTTTGAAAAACAGGATTTGAACACGGAGCAAATGTTGAAACATTATCACAATGCAAAAGTGGTGGAGAAGTAGAAACACTTGCAAATCCATCTAAATTAATCTAATCCGAGCAACATTTGCAACAACATTGGCTAAGGCCTTATATTTTGCCTCTGTAGAACTACAAGAAACACTTCTTTTACCCAGAAGCACAACAGAGTCAATAGTTGATCAGAGGCCCAGTTAGCATCATTGTATGCTTGTAAATCCAGAATTTGTGAAATAGAATAATGAAGACCACAATCAACAGAGCCTTGTAAATAGTGTATAAGTCTTTTAACTAGATGAAAAAGGACATTTGTAGGAATAGGCATAAACTGACAGGCATAGTTTACCGCAAATGCTATATATGGCCTAGTGAAAGTATAATATTGCAAAGCACCCACCAAGCTTCTAACAATGTAAAATCAGTTATGGGAACACCTTCTACCCCAA